TCCAACTGACAATTTACTCACTTGCCTGATCTCGTTTCCTAAGAGCAGGTCCAGTGTTACACCCTCCCAAGTAGGGCCCTCTAAAATCTCCAACCAATACCACTCTATTATTCCTACAGGTACCTGCAATCTCACTACACATCTGCTCCTCTAGTACCCACTGCCTATTTGCAGATCTATAATACAGTCCCAACAGATTGACTATCCCCTTCTTGTTTCTAAATTCTAACCATATGGCATCATTTGATGACCGCTTAAGAATATCCTCTCTAAGCAGTGTTGTTATGTTCTCCTTTATCAAAAGGACAACTCCCCCTCCTCGCTTACTTCTGTCACACCTGTAGCTTCTGTATCCTGGAGCATTGAGCTGCCAGTCCTGCCTTTCGCTCAGCCATATTTCTGTTATGGCTATAATATCCCAATCACCAGAGCCAGTCCATGCTCTGAGCTCATCTGCCTTACCAGTCAGGCCTCGTGAATTGAAATAAATGCACTTAAAACCAGAAGTCTTTTCCCTCCCTTTAGTGTGCCCCTGGCCATCCTGAATAGTAAACTTGTTCTCGATGGGTAATGTATTTTCCCCTGACTTCTCGATGGCCCCTCTCTTATTCAGAGTCCCATCCACCTGCGAAACTGGTTTAAATCCACCTGGGTAACACTACCAAATCTCCCCGCAAGGATATTGGACCCCCTCCGGTTCGAGTGCAACCCGTTCCTCTTATACACGTCACCTCTACCCCAAAAGAAATCCCAATGATCCAAGAAATGAAAACCCTGCCCCCTGCACCAGCTCCTCAGCCATGCATTCATCTGGCCAATCTTTCTATTTCTATCCTCACTGACGCGTGGAACTGGGAGTAATCCAGAGATCACTGCCCTTGAGGTCCTGCTTTTTAACTTCTTACCTAACTCCCTATACTCGTTTCGCAGGACACCATCCCTTTGTCTACCTCGGTCATTTGTACCGATGTGCACAGTGACTTCTGGCAGTTCACCCTTCCCGTTCAGAATGTTCTGCAACCACTCAGAGACATCCTTGACCCTGGCACCCAGGAGGCAATATACCACCCTGGTGTCTCTTCTGCGGCCACAGAATCTTCTGTCTGTCCCCCTCACAATTGTAATATGCCCAGTAATAACCTAACAGACTTGAAGCATTAACTCTGTTTCTCTCTCCACAGATGCTACCAGACCTGCTGAGTTTCTCCAGTATGTCTTACATGATACCTTTCAGGACAAGGCTATTTGTGCCAGGGCGCAAAAGCAAAGAGTCAGCAACATGGAGTGTACGTCACTAGCATGCTTTGTGACTTTCAGTTCCATCACAATTTACCAATCCAATGTTCTTAAAACAGCCATCATGGAGCTAGGTAATCAACTTGTTCAGAGATGTTATGACACCTCTGGTGCAGGTGGGACTAAAATATGGGCCTCCTGGCTCAGAGGCTGGGGTATTAATGTTGTACAAGACCCCCCTCTGTTATGGAGCAAAATAAACAGTGCTAACAAATGATTTTTGTTTGTGATTTGTTCTATTCCCTCTGAAATCCGGGAGGATTCTGGAGCATTGAGATCAGGATTCTCCATTTTATTGAACATACAATCCATACCTATTATCAACACTGAGTAATGTAGTACTTAACAACCACACAATTAATGAAAGCTTGAAACTTTGATTTGATTGAATCCTTCTGGTTTATTGAAATGGCAAGCCACTAGATAGTCGAGATCATTCCTACAGACAGAGCGAAGATGTAAAATGTTCATCCAGGGGATATAGTTGTGTGTGTGGTATCATTATAACACATTTGATAAAGTGCCATGTAACAGACCTGTCAGCAGAGTTAAAGCCTGTGGAATGAAGGAGGCTGAGGCAACATCATTAGAAAGTTGCCTGAGTGACAGCAAATTGAGAGAAGTAATGAGTGACAAAAACAGAAGTTGCTGGAAAAGCTCAGCAGGTCTGGCAGCATCTGTGAAGAAAAAAAAATCAGAGTTACCGTTTTGGGTCCAGTGACCCATCCTCAGAAGTCAAATACAAATAAGTTCTGAGGAAGGGTCACCCCAGACCCAAAACGGTAACTCTGATTTTATTTCTTCATAGATGCTGCCAGACCTGCTGAGCTTCTCCAGCAACTTGTTTTTGTTCCTGATTTACAGCATCAACAGTTCTTTTGGTTTTTATTTAGAAGTAATGAGTGGTGGTTTTTCAGATTGGAGCAATGTACCCATTAGTGTTCCCCCACGTGTCGGCATTCAGCCCACTGCTTTTCTTCATCTACATTAATGACTTGGAAATGATTTCCATATTTGCATTTGACTTTGAGGTTAGCCATAGACTTCAAGAGCACGCAGTCTGGTGGTATGGGTTGACATGGTCCAGCTGAAATTTAAGAATAAGTGTGAAATGATTCATTTTAGTCGAAAGAACAAGGAGAGCACAACAGCACAGTGGTTGGCACTGTTGCCTCACAGCGCCAAGGACCTGGGTTCAATTCCAGCCTGTGGTGATTGTCTGTGTGGAGTTTGCACAGTCTCCCTGTGTCTGCATGGGTTTCCACCGGGTGCGCCGGTCTCCTCCCACAGTCCAAAGATGTGCAGGTTAGGTGGATTGGCCATGCTAAATGCGGGGTTATGGGGATGTGGTGGCTGTGGGTGGGATTCTCTTCAAAGAGTAGTTGCAGACTTGATCGACCAAATGGCCTCTCTCTGCACTGCAGAGATTCTGAGAGTCAAAAAAGATCCAGTTCAAGAGGGGACACGAGCAGAGACCTGGCTGGCTGCATGTTTCAGTGGTTGAAGGAAATGTTTTTCTCTGTGGCAGTTGGGCAATCTGGAAGCATTGCCTAAGAGAGCAGTGGAAGCAGGGTCAATAGTGGCTGGCAAAAGGTAATTAGACAAATATTTGAAGAGAAATAATTTGTAGGGTGGGAGTGTGACATTAGCTGAAATGCCCTTGAAGAGAGTCGAAATAGACTTGACTGGCTGAATGACCTCCTGAACTGGAACTATTCAATTCATTTAAATGAACAGTAATGGTTTAGACAGCTCCTGGTGGGGCAGCTATAGTTTGGTCCCTATCCTCATTCAACTGCTTTAGATTGTTCTGATCTGTTGACTGAATGAATTACTAGATTGTCCTTCTTCCTTTAATTGTACAGTTCTTTGATTAAAGAACTTGACATGGTTGTAGCAGACAATTTTACCTCCATTCTTTTGTGCGTAACTAGGTAAGAAAGATTCCTATGGTTTGTACCACGAGGAATGTTTGAGGTTGACGTTTCAGTAGGGGATTACTTTGGGAATAGTGATCACAATTCCATAAGTTTTAGAATACTCATGGACAAAGACGAGAGTGGTCCTACAGGAAGAGTGCTGAATTGGGGGAAGGCCAACCATAGCAAAATTCGATAGGAGCTGGGGAATGTGGATTGGGAACAGCTGTTTGAGGGTAAATCCACATTTGATATGTGGGAGTCTTTTAAAGAGAGGTTGATTAGAGTGCAGGACAGACATGTCCCTGTGAAAATGAGGGATAGAAAGGGCAAGATTAGGGAACCATGGATGACAGGTGAAATTGTGAGACTAGCATAGAGGAAAAAGGAAGCATACATAAGGTCTAGGCAACTGAAAACAGACGAAGCTTTGGAAGAATATTGGGAAAGTAGGACCAATCTGAAATGAGGAATTAAGAGGGCTAAAAGGGGTCATGAAATATCTTTAGCAAACAGGGTTAAGGAAAATCCCAAAGCCTTTTATTCGTACATAAGGAGCAAGAGGGTAACTAGAGAAAGGGTTGGCCCACTCAAGGACAAAGGAGGGAAGTTATGCGAGGAGTCAGAGAACATGAGTGAGATTCTTAATGAGTTCTTTGCGTCGGTATTCGCCGAGGAGAGGGACATGACGGCTGTTGAGGTTGGGGATAGATGCTTGATTACTCTAGTCAAGTCGGCATAAGGAGGGGGGAAGTGTTGGGTATTCTAAAAGGCATTACGGTGGACAAGTCCCCAGGTCCGGATGGGATCTATCCCAGGTTACTGAGGGAAGCGAGAGAGGAATTAGCTGGGGCCTTAACAGATATCTTTACAGCATCCTTGAGCACGAGTGAGGTCCCGGAGGACTGGAGAATTGCTGATGTTGTCCCCTTGTTTAAGAAGGGTAGCAAGGATAATCCAGGTAATTATAGACTGGTGAGCCT